GTGTTTTGAGATCCACTGATAAGGATTTAATGTGTACAGACCTCTGAAGCAGATGCTCAGAGAAATAAAGAAGCATAGAAACCTGACTTGCAGGTATACTATCTGTTCACGTGTGGCTTTTCTGCTTTAAGATGAGATGTCCTCCCAACCCGGCAGCACGATGCATTGTCTGGACTAACTGATTCAGGCAGATGGGAGTTTAGGGACTCTGCTCTGCATTAAAAGTTTTCCAGATTCCACTGGGTTCTACTTAGAATCCAACTTCAATGTTTCTTCAAGGATTCTAAAGTCTGCTTATTAATTCTGGCTGTTTGTACTTCTTGTATTTTTCATTGCCAATACACGTCTTAGCACATCCTTGGAGCTGTAGGCTTTCCTTTTTCCCTATTTGTATTTTTTCTTTTTCCGGGTGAACCTGAGGAATTTCTTCAGGTTTTCACTCCGTTGGTTTGAGTTAGTTATTGAATAGTAGTCACAGTAGTGGGTTGAAACCAGCAGACCTTCTTGCTGAGGGAGAATGTAAAGGAATCACTAGTGACTTGATAGAAGCAAAAAAAATTGTAATTTTAGTAATCTTTTAGAATTCTCTTTAATACTATTTATACTCAAAGGATTTAGAAAGACCGCTCCTTGCAGAATGTATTTTTTTCTATTTCACCCAAGGAAGTATTTCTCCTAAACACAGATTTTGTGTTTGAAGATTTCTTTGTCAGGAAGGTTAGTTGTATAGTAACTCTCAGGGTCCTGTGTGAAACAAATCAGAGTATGCTGTAAGGATGAGGGGAAGGAAAAGAAATTTCAAACACGTCCCTGTGTTATTCTGTTCAATCAAGGCGTTTCAGTGCAATGCAATGCAATTTATTTCAAGTGGAGTAGCACCCCCATGAGGTTCAATTTTGAACTGACAGAATTTAAAATTGCTGAGGAGACGAAAACATAGAAACAGCTACTTGCTTCTGGAATGCATTTATATAAAATCGATTTGCAACAAAAGGGAAAAACAGTGCAACCACTTGGGATGCTCTCTCCACACATCTATGTACGCAGTCACATATATTAGGAAAAGATAACAACTCATGTAAATCCAGTACCTGTTGTACTGAATATAAGGATTCATGCTGTTTAAAAAAAGTATTTCTGAATTCTAACGGTGTCTGAATACTAGGCTGCTAGTGTTAGGGAGGGAAATAGGAAGGAGTTCTTCTCAATAGTAACACAACATTGAATACTGTCTTAGCAAATGATGACATCTATGTGGAAATCAGAAAGTCAGACTAGTTTACTTTCTGATTAAATAACTTGCCTCTTGTCAATTATTTCCACAGATACCACACTCTGCCTCAAAGCCTATCGCATGCCTCCCTCTGTGAAATATTTTACATTCTAGAGCTGCAAGAGGTGATAAATGTATTTTCTATCAATCATCTGCCTCCCTTGGCATATCGTTTCTTTCCCTCCACCCCCGCCCAGTGTCTGATTAACTTAATGGTCTTACTCAGACTAAAAGTACTTTTCAAATTATCACATAAATTTGATAAAAAACAAAAGCAGAGAGCTTACATTTATTATGCTTTATATTCTTCTCTAAAATGATTTTGCCTACCCATGTTGCTAATGACTTAAAGCAACAACAGGCCTACTACTATGTAAATGTACCATGTCAAAGTAAGCTCTCAGTCTGTGAGAGGTAGATTGTGTCTTTGCAGAGGAAATTTCCAGTATTTCTGTATGTAGTGTAGGATGAGTTGTTTTTCACAAAGAAAGCTGCTGAACAGAGAAAAGTTGAGACTGGGGTGTTCCGACCTGGATAGAACTGGCACAAGGCTCTATGTAAGGTAATTATAGAGGGTAGGGGAGAGTCTGGTACAGGACAGAATAAGTGTGCTAATTGTTGAAAATATTGTCTTCCTATCACCATAAAAGGTACAGAACATACCTAAAATCAGTGTGTTGGTGACAGACATTGTATGGAAATGTAAGGTAGCAACAGCGCCAGAAGGTGGTGAGCCTGAAATGCTCAACCAGTGAGTGCCAGGAGAGGCTTTATCTGCATCAGATACCCAGGGTACATAACGGGATGGATTTCACTGATCAGGTATGCAATTTCTCCTTTGTCAGTAGAGGCTGCGTGCTCATTACTGCAATAATGAATAAATTGCTCTTCACAGAGATCTTTGCCTGATTAGAAATTTTTTATCCTGAACGTGTTTCTCACAATTCTTATCTCTTTCCAATGCAGTAAACACAGTAAGAGCAAACCTCAATGAAAAAGTACCAGAAAGGATAGTGTGCAATACCAGTTTGTATTCATTTGTTCAGAAGTCATTTTTCAGATCACTTTTTTTTTTTTTCTTTTTAAGGAATTAATTGCATGTAATTCATAATCATTCAGCGCAATTTTTTTTCACCTGATATGGTGCAAACAAGGAAAAACAAACAAATAATTAGAGATTGAAGAGGTGCCAAGTTTTCTTCCATGTGATCATTGCAAGCCAACAGCAGAAAACATTCATGACCTTTTGTTCCTTGTCACTGTAGCAGTGGAGCAGGTAGCAGAAAGATGCTAGCAGGACAAGGCACAGGACCTACCAGCGGTTAGCACAGAGCGTCTTTCACAAGAAAATGCTGAGCTTTCTTTTTAAGAAAGGTTAAAAGCACTATGAAATAAAGGAAAGAAAGGAACCAAAAGCACTATGTGACTGTGTGATAAGTAGATGGCAATGTCACATTTGGAAGAAATGGCACAGCTGAGAGCAGAGTAGCAGTTCTTCAACTGTATAATTAGTTCCAGAAAAGGCTGTTACTGCTACTAAGGCAGTCAAAAAGCCAGGTTTAAGTGAGTGATAAAAGACCAAAGGGAGTAAAGAGATGAGGCAAAATGTTAGTTTTAATTGTCTGGAAGGAGTACTTGGGCCACACAGACTGTAGAGCTAAACTGCATGCATCCCAGCTGGAAAGTGCAATGAGCAAAGTACAATCACTAATCATGATGTATTCAACTAGGATAAGGAAGTGTGTCCCTCCTTCTTGAAGAAGGGATAGAACAGAAAGGCATGTTTTCAAGGAAATGACTGAACAGTTTAATCAAATGCTACAGGTAGCTCACTTGAGGAATACTGCCCATTTCTATTTTCAGTACAGCTTCAAAGATTTTACTTGGAGTCTTGATTATGATTTCAGCATTAAGAATAAATACACTTCGAGGGAATTCTTTCGTCTCTTAAATTCAGATAATACTCATTGTTTTCTAAGCTGCTTTCTCAACCATGCTCTCAGAAAACCAATTTGCTATCTTGTGTAATAAGACAGATTAAGGATATCAGGACAGATAAGGGACCATCACTTACGATCTGGACAGGACAGATCAATGGGCTGAGACCAGTTGTATGAACTTAGAAAAGACCAAGTGTTGGATCCTGCATTTCAGTCACAACTCCATTCAACATCACAGACCTGGGGCAGCGTTGCTGGAAAGATGTGTGGCAGAAAAGGAGCTGGCGGTGCTGGTTGACAATCGACTAACACGAGCAAGCAGTGTGCCCAGGTGCCTAAGGCAGCCAGCCTCATCCTGGCTTGTACCAGAAATAGTGCTGCCAGCAGGCTGAGGGAAGTAATTGTCCTCCTGTACTCAGCTTTGGTGAGGCCACACCTCAGGTACCGTGTTCAGCTTGGGGCCCTTCACAACAGGGAAATTATCAAGGCCTGGGAGCATGTCCAGACATGGGCAATGGAGCTGTGAGGGGTCTGGAGCACAGTCCCGTGGGAAGCAGCTGAAGGAACAAGGATGGCTCAGTCTGGAGAAGAGGAGGCACAGGAGAGATCTTATCACTCTCTATAGTAACCTGAATCATAGAATCATAGAATGGCCTGGGTTGAAAAGGATCACAAAAATCATTTTGTTTCCACCCTCCTGCTGTGTGCAGGTTGCCAACCAGCAGACCAGGCTGATCAGAGACACATCCAGCCTGGCCTCGAATACCTCCAGGGATGGGGCATCCACAGTCTTCTTGGCAACCTGTTCCAGAGCCTCACCACCCTCTGGGTGAAAAACTTCCTCCTCATAACCAACCTAAACCTCCCCTGTCTCAGTTTAAAACAACTCCCCCTTGTTCTATCACCATCCACCCTCATAAACAGCCATTCCCCCTCCTATTTATACACTCCCCTCAAACACTGGAAGATTACAATGAGGTCTCCCTGCAGCCTTCTCTTCTCCAAGCTAAACAAGCCCAGTTCCCTCAACCTTTCCTCACAGCAGAGCTGCTCCAGCCCTCTGCTCATCTCAGTGCCCCTTTGGACCTGCTCCCAGAGCTCCATGTCCTTCCTGTGCTGGGGGCCCCAGGCCTGGACGCAGCGCTGCAGATGGGGCCTCACAAGAGCTGAGCAGAGGGGGACGATCACCTCCCTCTCCCTACTGGCCGCCCCTTTTTTAATGCAGCCCAGAACACAGCTGGCCTTCCGGGCTGCAGGCGCTCACTGCTGCCTCATGTCCAGCTTCTTGTCCACCAGGATTCCCAAGTCCTTCTTCGCAGATCTGTATAAATACCTGGGATTGCTCTAGTCCAAGTGCAACACGTTGCACTTGGTGCTGTTGAACCTCATTAGGTTCCCATGAGCCTGCTTCTCCAGCTTGTCCAGGTCTCTCTGAATGATTTCCCTTCCCTCCAATGTATCGACTGTACCACTCAGCTTGGTGTTACTCGCAAAGTTGCTGAGAGTGCTCTGGATTCCACCATCTATGTTACTGTTGAAGAGCACCAGTCCCAAGACCACCCCCTGGGGGACACCGCTTGTGACCAACCTCCACCCAAACATAGAATCATTGATTCTAACCCTTTAGCTGTGAATTTAGCCAATGAATTCTTAATCCACTGAACAGTATATTCTTCAAATCCACACCTCTCCAATTTAGAGAGAAGGATGTGGTGAGGGACCATGTCAAAGGCCTTGCAGAAGTCCAGGTAGATGACATCTATTGCCCTTCCCCCATCCACCAAGACCATCACTCCACCATAGAAGGCCACCAGGTTAGTCAGGCAAGATCTGCCCTTGGTGAAGCCATGATGGCTGTCTCTAATCACCTCTTTGTGTCGTATTGGCCTTAACATAGCTTCTGGGAGGATCTGCTCCATGATCTTCCTAGGCACAGAGGTGAGGCTCAATGGCCTCTAGTTCCCCAGGTCTTCCTTTCTCCCTTTCTTAAAAATGGGAGTCGTGTTTCCTTTCTCCAGTCACTGGAGATGTCACCAGACAGCCATGATTTTTCAAATACAGAGATCTGCTCGGCAACCACACCAGCCATCTCTCTCAGAACCCTGGAATGGATGTCATCCATCCCCCTGGACTTAAAGACATTCAGTTTCATGAGGAGGTCTCAGACTTGTTCCACTGTTACAGTGGGACAGAATCCATTCATCTCATTCACACCTAGAGGTTCAGGATCCTGGCAGGCATGAGGAGCCTGACCATCAGTGAAGACTGAGGCAAAGCACTTACGGGAAACAAGATGTTATTGTTTCTAATGTCAAACATTTACTGAATATTATTTTCAACAAGGTAATTCAAAACACATTTCCTCTGTAGCTGTTTTATTATATTTCCTACAGATAATGATCAAGAAATGTCCCACTTATTGTTATTACTATAGCCTCTGGTTCAGGGGCCAAACTCTACTGAAAAGAAAAATTCTCTTTTATCTCTCTTAGTCCTAACAGGGACAAAATCTGCCTATGTTTAACCTCTGCTTTAAGAGCTCCCAATAGAAAATGACCAATTAATCTGACTTTAAAAAAACCCTCCAAGCATCAACCACCCACAGCCTATTAAAGGGGACAAAATATCTTCAGCACTGCTTCTGAAAAAATTGTAACTGTTTGGTTTCATGTGAATGAAAGATTAGGAGGCTCATGCCTTATTTTAGGGAAAAAGAAAAATGAATAGAATAATCACTTGATAATGACAGCCTTACACACCATGATAGAAAAAGCAGTGTTTTTGCACTACGGTTCATCTAAAACAGTGGTGTGATAATGGGGAGGGGGGAAAAAAAAAAAAAAGGATCAAACATGAGCTGTTCTGTTAAGGTACTGACCAAAAAACTGCAAGCTGACAACACCTTTCTTTTTATCTTTGTACAAGACTGGCTGGTCAAGAAAGTAGTTCTAAGAGATATCAAGAGACTGTAACAATACAAATTTCCCAGAAAACCATCTGATACTGATTACTTGTGTAGTAACTAACTAACTAACTAACTCTCTCTAAAATAGAGAGTTTAGTAAGAGTACCTATTATTTTCTTACTAAGACTCTCACTAAGATCAGGAAAAAAGCTTCCTGTTTTGATAGACACATTGTTGTATTTATTAAGATTCCATAGAATGTTAATTATGATTAATATGACATAGATTAAGTAAAGTAAAATTTTTAGGGCACTTATTTTTTATTAACATATACGTCACTAACAACAGCAATTGAAGAATACCATATTATTTTCCTTCTATTTATATAGATTCAGATTCCAAAAAGAAATTGGAAAACCAAACAAACAAACAAACAAAAAAACCCACTAAATTGTGGTTTGAGTATTTTCCTACATTTCCTGACATATATACATGTCGTATCCACGTCTGTTAGTCATTGAAATATTTTCCATGCTTAAATATTACTTCCACCAACTCCCAGATTGAGGTGTGTCACTGTTCCAAAAGATTTAGAGAGCACTTAAAATAAATTTACACTTCATTTTCCCCATCTCTTCTGAAAATTGTTGTAAGTACAAAAGGAAAAATGATGCTGCAGCCTTCTGATCAACTTCATGGCCCTCCTCTGGACCTGCTCCAACAGTTCCATGTCATTTTTGTGTTGGAAGCCCCAGGTGCAGTCTTCCAAGAGCAGAGTAGAAGGGTAGAATCACCTCCCTCGGCCTGCTGGTCATGCTTCTCTTGATGCAACCCAGGATATGGTTGGCCTTCTGGGCTGCAAGTGCACATTGCCAGCTCATGTTGAACTTTTCATCAACCGATACCCCTAAATCCTTCCACTCAGGCCTGCTCTCAAGCCATTCTCTGTCCAACCTGCATCTGTGTTTGGGATTGCCCAACCTAGGTACAGGACCTTGCATTTGGCCTTGAACTTCATAAGGTCGGCTTGGGTCCACATCTCAAGACTGTCCAGGTCCCTCTGGATGGTGCCCCTTCCCTCTAGTCTGTGTCAACTGCACCACTCAGCTTGGAGTCATCTGCAAACATGCTGAGGATGCACTTGATCCCACTGTCCATGCTGGCAGTATGACAAGTGGCTCCTAGAATTCTCACTCTGTGAACAAAAAACAGTCATACACTATGTTGTGTGCGTGGCTTTAAATCACTGTCACGTTAAGTGTAGGAATCTTGATATGTGACTAGAAGAGGAAGCCTTCCTGTCAAGTCACAAGGTTCAGAAAGGACCCCATTGCTTTCTAAACTTCTCAGAGAAGTCTGGGTGCTGCTAAACTCAAACTTAGTTAAATTGACCCGGTAAAATATACATCTAGGGATTACCTGCACGGATACTTCCAGAATCAACATTCACCTCTTGGAGCCCTCTCAAGGACTTGCACTGAAACAGTTTCACAAAGTTAAAAATAGGCTGTTTATTGAGGTGACTCATAATGGATGTGGAATTGCGACTGATAAATGCACCAACCACACCACGCTAAGTATCTTAAGGCTAATCAGTAATTAATTCACAATTTGCCTACAAAATAAAAATTGTCATCCACAAAATAACTGAGGCACAATTTCTTACTGAAAAATTTCTAACCAAGAAAGCAGGATGAGTGAGATCCATCAATGTACCCAAGCCAATGGAGTGTCTCCAAACTGCACAGTGGAGGCAGAAAGGCAGATTTATACTCTTGATTTGGGGGGACTGAGTCATGTGTCTTACGTGATAGGCATCTCAGCAGGACTCACGGCGTTGTTAATTAGAGGAGGTTGGGTTAAGGCTAACATTTGGTGCCCCCTTCTGACTTTACCGAAACAACATCAGCCTGCCAGGCCTCTGCCTCACCTCAGGCCCCTCTCAGTCGCTGCAGTCACCAGGTCTGGGCAATATTAGACTGCACATCTCCACATCTATCAGGTGCTTTGGCCAGATTAGCAATTTGCTCAACTCCTGCCTTTGTTCAAGGCTGGTACAAGATACCACAATTCATGCAGGAAACGTTTTTGGTTAAATTAAGTCTAGCAGTACTTCTGCTTCCTCTCTGTCTAGTACTTCCCATAGTACATGCATTATAATCTATTTGCACTTCCTTTTTTTCCCCTAAAAAGTAATGGGGAAATGTCCTGGTCTTATTTATCTGTAAGGCAAAGGCCTTGGTTTTATACCCTTATACCCTATACTCTATACTTCTGTAGTTAGTCTATTTTAGTGGGTTACTGTTTTATACGTACACTTACTCACTGAAATGTCCCGATTTCAGATTTTCTGAATAGTAAACTGACTGTTTTTCTACACTTTTTCTGTTGTTTTGTAAGGATAGAGTGCTTTTCACTTGTCATAAAAAGGTAGTTTGAATGTTTCAGATAATTTTTTATTCTCATTTCTTGTTTGATATACCTTTGTTGCTGTTGTTAAATTAGAAGGGATGCTCTTTTAGCAGACTTCCATTTAATATCATGATGGTTTTGCTGAAAATCTCATTTTATTTGGTTCAGAAATAAATTATTGGAGTTTTTTGAAGGGCGCAGCACCTATATCTTTCCTGTAGAATGAGAACAGCTAGTTAACTTTTGGTTATAATCTAAGAGAGCACAACCTCACTCTCAACTTTCAGTGCATAAGATTTTTTTTTGAAAGCCTATGAAAATGAGTAAGAACTCTTAGCTGAAAGGGACAGGACCAATAGAGCAGGATAGATATAATCTAGTTCAAGAGTTAACAAGGGAACTTCAGGATTCAGTACATACATTATATGTTTCATAGCCCCAGAGTAGATGAAATCAATGGAAGCACAATGTATATGATAGTTTACAGGACAGTTGTCAAAATTAAATTACATTTACAATAATAATCTTCCTTAATAATTGTTTAAATTCACTATTAATATAAATCGTAACAAAAGGCAATGTGTATTTATAATGTCTAATTAGGTTCAAATAAAGTTACTGGTCTTCAGCTAGTCTGTAGTCAATATTAAAGAAACTAAGATCACGTTTTCTTTCAAAACTTCAGTGAAATGTTCAACTCATCTTAAAACCTAACAAAACACATAGGACATCAATATTCTGAAGACAAATTTTCATCACCTCATGTTCTCACTTCAAGACAAATTGTCTTTGGGGGACCTCTTGTGGTAAAGACTTAATTACTGCACTTTAATTCCTTTTGGTGTTTAGAAAATATTTGAGTTATGTCTTCAAACATCATTTTCTGGAGCTAGTGAAGTTATTAAAAAAGCAAGTTAATATTAAATTATTTATGAAAATCACATTAAATCCATATATCAGATATATCCAGAATATAAGCATAAAATCACATTAAATCCATATATCAGATATATCCAGAATATAAGCATATATATGTCAAAGATTGTTCAAACTAATAAAGGTAAAAATGTCAGCTATTGAGACCCAAAATGTTACCTGCAATAGCTCAAAGCAAAACAGAAAAGAAGAAAGAAAGACCATGATTATAGTCTGATCATTTAATTTGCTTCCCCCAACTCCTCAACACCCCTTGTATTCACCTGCTTTCACAGGATAAGATTATAGCATTGTTTTATTGTAGCAACATAGTGGAAAATAGAAATCTTTTAAGATATATGCTTGTAATAGGGACTTAAATATCTCAGTCTGCAAGATTATGACAGCTTTTACAGTACTTCCACAGCAGTCACCATCAAGGTCAATACAAATAATGTTAAGGCCACTAGCATATGCAGCCCTTGAAATATAGATCTATTTCTGCCCAACATCACTTCTGCTATGAACTGAGAAGAGTCATGCAATACATTCAGTTTAATCAGTAGCCTGTTGCTACCAGTGAAGGGCAGCAGGGATTGTGTGAAGTGTGTGTATAAAGTATTTTATGAAGTATGTGTGAAGATTGTGTGAAGTATGAGCAGTGGATCTGCTTGCTCACTATGGTGACGAAGCACAAGGAGGAAGTGGAGCTTAAGAAGCATCAGAGAGAGCATGAGCAGGAGACGAGACTAGTGGAGTAACTCCCCATCAAACTTGATAAAAAGATACTGGGGTGATACCCCCAGACAGTGGTGGACCCCCTGTTCTGTCACAGGCAACTCCCATCCCAACCTACTTTGGATCCCTAGGTGCCCCAACACAATAGGTTTGAGGTTCTGGAATGTAAGGGAAGACTAAGGATGTGGTAGAAGGTCCACCAAAGTGAGTGCCTAGGGTGAGGAGGTTGATTCCATGCCTCAAGACTGCCTCCCCCTAGAAGGAAAGATGTGGCAAGACAGATGTGGTCTTTGCTGGTGCAGAACAAAGAACTAAGATCTTTATTGAAGCCGAGCACCTCCTGTGCATTTATGTCTGGCTCAAGTTACTGCTGTTCTTGTTTACTCATTAGCAAGGTAATGACTTTCTTTGTCCCTCAGAAAGAAGGGCAGTTGTCACAGCTGAGTCCGTACAGAACAGAGGGAACAAAGGGCCACATGTGTCGGTCAGATCCTACTCATGGGGAAGCATGCTGCCAACTCGGGGCTTGGGTCAGGGGTATTCCTAGAAAACTTCCTAATCTGATTTGCCCTCTGATTATTATTCCTTACTGATAGTTCAGGCTGGCAGCGATGAAGACATTGAGAAAAGTCTAAGGACTATCAAAAGAAACTTCAGAGCATTGGGGCAGTTAGTTGATTGGAGCAGGAGTGTAGGTGGTGTTTTCCTCTGTCCCCTCAGTGTCAGCAAGGGATACCTAAAGAGGAGCAAGAAAACCCATCTCATGAATACACAGCTGAAAGGCTAGTGCAATTGAAGGAATTTCATTTTTTTAACCATGGGGTGGTTTACTTGTCATCTGGCCAAACGGCTGCAGACAGGTCTCACCTAACCCTAAAGGGAGAAATGGACCCAAACCCAGGAGTTGGCAGAGTTTGTTGAGAGCGTTTTAAACTGGGTATGAAGGGGGAAGGGGATAAAACCAGTTATGAGTTGAGATGAGCCTGAGGGAATGATGACAGGATTGGGGGCGAGGCAAGGGGCTCAGCTTGACAGTATTTACACCAATGTACACTGCAAGGGCAACAAACAGGAAGAGCTAGAAGCCTTCATATGGCAGGTAACTACGGCTTTGTTGCCATTACTGAGGCATAATGGGATCACTCCCATGACTGGCATGCTGCAATGGATATTACAAGCTCTTCAGAAGTGATAGTCAAGGAAGGAGGGACAGTGGTGTGGCTCTCTGTTAGAGTGTTTTGATGTTGTTGAGCTCAGGACTGTGAATGATAAGGTTGAAATTCTATGGGTAAGGATCAGAGGGAGGGCCAACAAAGCTGACATTCTGGAAGGTTTCTGTTACAGACCACCTAACCAGTTTGAGGTGATGGATGAGGCATTTTACTAGCATCTGGCAGAAGTTGCTTTATCATCAGTTCTTGTTCTCATGGGAAACTTCAACTTCCTTAATATATAAGGGAAATATGATAAAGTGCCGAAGAAGCAGTCTAAGGAGGTTTCTAGAGAGTGTGAAAGATTAGTTCCTGATGCAGCTCATAAAAGAGCCTACCAGGAGAGATGTTCCACTAGACTTGCTGTTAACAGAAAAGGACTGGTTGAAGATGTGGAGGTCGAGAGCTGTCTTGGACAGAGCATCAAGAAACCGTAAGAGTTCTCTATTATTGGTGAAGCCAAGGGGATGGGGGGCAGCAAAACTGCTACCTTGGACTTCTGGATGGTGAACTTTTAACTATTCAGTACCCTGGAAGGGACATTCCCTTGGGACTCAGTATTAAAGTGTAAAGGGGGCCAGAAAGGCTAGTCGCTTCACAAAAAGGAAGTCCTAGAGGCACAGGAGCAAGCTGTCTTCCTATGCCATTAGATGAGGTTTAACCAGGTGAGGTTTAACAAAAGCAAGTGTAGAATCTTGCATCTGGGAAGGAATAATTGCATGCACCGGTACAGGTTGGGGGATGAGCTGCTGGAGAGGAGCTCTGCAGAGAGGGACCTGGGTGTCCTGGTGGACAAGTCGGCCATGAGCCAGCAGTGTGCCCTTGTGGCCAAACAGTCCGATGGCATCCTGGGGTGCATTAAAAAGAGCATGGCCAGCAGGTCGAGGGAGGTGATCCTCCCCCTCTGCTCTGCTCTGGTGAGGCCTCATCTGGAGCACTGAGTCCAGTTCTGGGCTCCCCAGTACAAAAATGACAGGGACCTCTTGGAAAGAGTCCAGCGGAGGGCCACCAAGATGGTGAGAGGCCTGGAGCATCTCTGCTATGAGGAAAGGCTGAGTGAACTGGGTCTGTTCAGCCTTGAGAAAAGAAGACTGAGAGGGGAGCTGATCCAGCTCTATAAGTATCTAAGGTATGGGGGGCAGAGAGGAAAGGCCGGACTCTTTTCAAGAGCAGCATGTGGAGACAGGACAAGGGGAAACGAATGGAAACTGCAGCATAGGAAGTTCTGCACAAATGTGTGCAAGAACTTCTTTACAGTGAGGTGACAGAGCACTGGAACAGGCTGCCAGGGAGGTGGTGGAGTCTCCTTCTCTGGAGATGTTCAAGACCTGCTTGGACACTGACTTGTGCGACCTGCTGTAGGGAACCTGCTTTGGTAGGGTGTTGGACTCGATGAGCTCTGGAGGTCCCTTCCAACCCCTATGATTCTGTGAGTCTGAGATTCTGTGAACAGGCATGGAAGAAGACCAGTGTGGATGAATAGGGAACTATTTCTGAAGCTCTAGGAGAAAAAGAGAGTTTATTTTCTGGTGGAAGAAAGGATGGGCAACTCAGGGAGTACAAAAAAAAAAAAAAAAAAAAGCAGTATGGATATGTAGGGAGAAAACTTGAAAGGAAAATGTCCAATTTGAACTCAAGTAAGCCACTGGGGTAAAAGGAACTGAAAACATTTCTACAGTCATATAAAGAGGACGTCTAAGGAGAATTTTTATATGTTGCTAGATGCAGCAGAGATGCAACATGATCACTGAGGATAAGGAAAAGGCTGAGGTTCTCAATGGCTTTTTTACATCTGTCTTTAAAAGTCAGACCAGTTATCCTTTGGGTGCTCTACCCCTTGACATGGAAGTCTTGAATGGTGAGCAGAATAAGCCCCTCATGATTTAAGTGGAAACAGTTAAAGTCCTACTACCCACCACTTGGACTGATGCAAGTCCATGGATCCCCAGCAGTGCTAGGGGATCTGGCAGAGGTAATACTCAAGCCACTTTCCACCACCTATTAGCATTCCTGGTCACTCAGAGACGTCATGGAGAATTGGAGGCTTGCAAATGGGAGTCCCATCTAGAAGAAGGGTTGTAATGAGGATCTGGGGATCTACAGACCTGAAGTAAAGGCTGTTGACAGAGTCTACCCAGACTTCAGGCAAAGCCTTTGACACTGTCTCCCACAGTATTCTCGTAGACAAGCTGGCAGACCATGGCCTGGACAGGTATACCCTTTGGTGACTAAAAATTGGCTAGAGGGCCCCAAGGGTAGTGGTGAATGGAGTCAAATCCAGATCATGAGTGGTGTTCCCCACTGGGGTACTGGGTACGTGGCTCCTGTCCTGTTCAATATCTTTACTGATG